TTACATACATGCAGGAAGGGTATTGTTTAAATTACTACTATACTCCCGCCACTATCAGCATCGTTGTAGATGACTCAGTTGCCATATTATTTTAACTGTATCGTTCTTTTCTGTGGGTTAGATATTGTTCTGCATTTGTTGGCAACGCTTCCATCATGTGATAAAAGTATACTGTAACATAGCAACATAACCATCATCAGGGAACACTTGTTTCTTACTTCAGTGTCCGGTGATGGATTCCAACAATGGCCACGACGACGACACCGCCCCTATTGTACGTATAAATCATGTTTCGTATTTTATTTGGTTATATTACTTTTTTTAAACTCTGATAATTTTAACTGAATAGTTTTTTTTTTATTATTTATTATGCTCTATAGTGTTCCCAGATGGTTGTTACTTCTTAATTAAAGCTGCTTAAGGTTGCCAATTACTGTATATTCTTTATAATTCGTTAACCTTCTTGATCAGTCTGAGCGATAAGGATAACATCTGATGGAAGATGTATCAAATAGACAAAGAACAGAATAGGAGAAACTTAAACTGCATTTTACAAAATAAAGACTATTTAGTGCAATAAGTCAATGTCATTGGCGATTAGGGAAATAATTCTGGCTAAATAGTGCCAGTTTTAACATGTGACCGGGAATCCTGGTCGATTAATAAACAGGCCAATGGCTTGAGGCCTCGGAGATGAGGTTTCAGAAAAAAATCCTCAGAAAAAAAAAACCCAGATGTTTTGAAAGAGGCAAATGCTTCAAAACAACATATAAACGTCAGTATGAGTCTGTCAATATTTTTAAAAAATGTTATGAGAAAAGAGAAACTGGAATATGTGAACAAAGGAAAGATTTACCAAAACATGAAACAGAGGAGGACAACGTGAGACCGTTCTTGACAGCATTTTTTCTTAAAAATTTAGAATTTGCTGAGATTGGATGTAGTGGGCTGAAAGACGCTTATATCATAAGTTTTATGTAAACCTCAACACAATGTGCCAACCTCTCCTTTAAATGCGAACACAAAAAACGAAGAAGCAGAAAAAGAATTTGAAGAAGAAGAAGCATAATAATAACAGTAATAATAATAATAGTAATAATAATGAGAAGTGAAAAAAGACGGAAAAAAGAAAAAAGAAGAAGAAGGAGAAAAAGACAAAAAGAAGGCAGAAGAAGAAGAAGAAGATGATGATGATGATGAAAGTGAAGAATTGGAAGAAGAAGGAGAAAAAGAAGAAGAAGAAGAAGAAGATGAAGAAGGAGGAGGAGGAGGAGGAGGAGGAGGAGTAGAAGAAAAAAAAGAAGAGAAAGAAGAAGAAAAAGGCAGAGAAATAGAAGAGAAAAAGACGAAGAAGAGGAAGGAGGAGGAATAGAAGAAGAAAAAGACGAAGAAGAAGAAGAAGAAGAAGAAGAAGTGGAAGAAGGAGAAGAAGATGATGATGAGGAAGAAGAAGAAGTGGAATAATAATAATAATAATAATAATAATAATAATAATAATAATAATAATAATAATAATAAAAATAATAATAATAAGAAGAAGAAGAAGAAGAAGAGGAAGAAGTGGATAGTTTATTCCCTTTAGATTGCAGTCTGCGGGATTAATACTTCAAAGACGAGATTCCTCCATGTACGCAAGCCCGTTCAACCATAAGGTAATACTGGGACCCTGGCGGTTACAAAGTAACCCCCAATGAACGATCCAGGCAGGGAGTTTAAGATGTGTTGTATTGGTGTATGAGCTACTATATTCTTTAGCAAACAGTTGACGTCACCATTGTATGTTTACAGACTGCACACATTCTAGAAAAGAAGAGGCGGAAGCGACGTGCTTTGAAAATTGGACTGTACATTATCGCTGGCATTGTTGCACTGGGAGTATTTTCTGTCTGGCTGCTTCACAAAGACAGTATTGAAGCCATCCGTTTTGGTCAAGGGTTTTTGCTTTCGGTAAAGTTGCGATCCCTGGAAATTAAAAACCAACGAGGAGAGAATGTTCTTTACGGGGACTTAGGCAGCGATCTACTGGCTACCCCATACGATCACTGCTGGGATATTACTTACGAGTTTTATGAGGATTCGTGTCTACAATGGCGTGACAAGGCACGCCTGAAAGTGATCAAAGATGACAACCTGACTTCCCCATGTTACACGTTTCACTGGGAGGGTCTAGTCCCTGACTTCACGATAGAGGATTGCTTTTACTTGCAAGGATATAGCTGGTATGGCTACGTGACAAACACGACCGACCCATGGCCTATTCTTGACTTGCGTTTGGAAGAACGAGATTACAGCAAAGAGTACCCACTAGAACAAACTGAGCATATAGTACCCATCTGGTTTGGGTCACAGGGTGTGGTTATCTTTGTAGATTCCGGACATCCTTTTGGAATATCATGGAACCATACAGACAAGCGCCAGCTGTGCATTAGTTCAAAGCCGCAGCAGCAAGTTTACTTCAAACCTCTAAATGTGCTGCACTATACAGTTTGCCAAGGTAAATCAATCAAAGACGTGTATACTGTCTCAAGACGGCATCGACTTCAGAAAGACACACATGCTTTTTCAGAGCAAAATCAACAGCAGCATATCATGCCAAATCCCATTTATGCTATACCAACTAAAGAAGAGTTGCCTCAATTGTTAGATCTAATGAGAAGGAACGAATCCCAATGCAGCTTAATCGAGCTGTTTGATGACTGGGAAGGGGAATACGGTAATCTCAGTGTTGATGCAAGTATTTCAGAACTTCTACAAGATGTGATCCTTGAGGCGGCCAACCAAGACTGTTATCTGGTTCTACCTGTTTCACCTTTCTTCAGTTACAAATCGCAACACTTTAAGGAAGGCATAAGTAAAAACTACTTCATCCGGGACAGACAGAATTTGGTTACAAGAATGGTTAAGTGGCGTGATCATGAAGGGGCAGTCTTGGATGTATCAAATTCAAAGGCTCTGGATTGGTTTGTCGACCACATACGAGAACTGATAGACCATCTCGGCGTGATTTCTCTGAAATTATTGACTGTTACTCTCCCACCGGATTCCCGATTCTTGGATTTCAATGTTAGTCAGCTGGATTATCCTAGACTATTCCACCGAGCCATGTCTACTCTTAATATTTCCTTAACATTGGAATTTACCTCCGGGTTCATTACCGCCCCTGTGTACATTCCCATTCACATGAACTTCTTTAAAAACTCCGGTTACAACTGCCTCAACACTTCCATACCGTATTCATTAGTGATGGGTCTGAGTGGATACCCGCTTCTTACCGCAGATATAGATGAGATGGTGAGCAGCTCTACAACAGACGAGATGTTAGAATTATGGATAAAGGTGGCGATCTTCTTTCCACAGTTAAAGATTCCGTGTACCCAGTTATTCTACAATAATACAATGCAGGAACTTCTACAAGAAGCCTTAGATCTTCGTAGCATTACGTTGTTACCTTATTTGTCTCAAGTATGGCAGGAAGATCCACATCTGCCGATTATTCGACCCATGTGGTGGATTTCCCCGGACGATCCAGTGTCCAGAAGCATCAATGACCAGTTTTTGGTGGGTGATAAAATGTTGGTGGCGCCAGTGTTGTGTGAAAGAACTCAGAGAAGGGTTGTATATTTACCAAAGGGGACATGGCGCGGAGACGACATGAAGCTAATAAAAGGGCCAAAAACTATAGAGGTAAATGTAATAGACTCTAATATAGCTTTATATTTCTGGAGAGAAGACAGCGGTAATACTGAAAGCAATAACTGAACTAGGCAAAAACATGGATCAGGAATTATTTAAAGAAATATGTTATTACCGAAACATCGGGATGGCTTATTACAGCCAAGAACTAAAATACGTTAGCAGACGTAACAGGACAGCAGATAATGGATAAATACAAGTAAAACTTCAGCACAATATTTCATCTTTTGAAATAACCACAGGTTGAATGAGATGTTTGAAAAAGGCTGCTAACAAAACTATAAGAATTTATTTGTGTATAGTAGATCGATCCGTTTAACCTAAAACGTGAATTAGGTTTCGATCTGGTAACTTTCTTGTCTCTTTTGCGTGAAGTTCACTCACTTTCCGTCTTGCATCTGCTGGACTGTCTGATGTCTGGTCTCTGGGGTTTCAGAAGTGATCGCATGAGATTAGAAGAAACATTGGAACAATTCCTATCATTAAATTAATCGACAAAGAATGATTAAAATGGTTCGGATACTTGGTGAAAACGCACTCAAGCTTGCTTGGTGCGTACACAATGAAAAATGAACACATTAAGACGCAGAGGGAGACTTAGAAGAGGATGGACCGAGTGAGTCACTGACAGCTTAAGACCTAACAACATCACAGCATGCCAAGGAACCAGTGGCGCCCTGGCTCAGGTACCTATCATCCGTTAAGCTGCAAGATAACCGCACAAAGTAGATACTTACAAAAGAAGAAAATAAAGTAGGCTTCATTAATGTTCTAGTCCAGAGAATCGACTTCATTGCACCGGCTTTTATCACTTATTTATGTCTTTTTCTTCACGTTCACCAGCTGTAAACTCCGGCGGGAAGTTCTGGTTGTTCGTCTACTTCTGGACTGCAGTCCTGTTCCAGAACCTGTGTTGCATGTGCATCCGCTTTACAGATCTGACTAATTTGAATGCAGACTGCTGGCTCCTTGCCTCTCAGGCAGATGCACTCTGACTTAAAAGGAAGCTCCCAATTAGTCGACTCTTACGACATGCTTTTGGGTAGGCAGTGAGCCTATTCTTGTTTTCCCTATAATAGGGCCACGGAACCCACACGGGGATTATCCCATATGGCTCTTCTCTCTCACCAGAAAAACCAGCTGCTCGCTGAGAGCGTCATACAAAGCACAAACACCGTAGCTCCGGCGACTACCACCAGGGGTCTGTCAAAGCTATACTTGTGAACCGAACGACCCAGCTGTGAAACGAACGCGCGACCTTAAGAGCGAGAGGCAAACAGCTTGACAACTTCATCACGGGTTATCTTTTTTAGATAGTCAGTCAGATCTACAAAACTGAAGAAAATGCTATCGATAAAATCGAGTGCACCAGGGTGGAAAGTGTGTGTGTGGGGGGGGGGGGGGGGGGGGGGCGCCAGTCCTATAGAGACTATGGATCAGCCGCCACTGATAATGAACCTTTGACGAATAATAATAATAATTTAAAAAAAAAACATGTGTCCAGACTAAATTTTTTTGACCAATCGGCACAAGGTGGGGGATGTAGTCAGTATTACGCCGACTGCCTTTACTTCCCAGCACGTTTCCTAGTAAAATTTAAGGTCAACATGAGAGCCAAGGTCAGTTTTGAAAAAAAAAAAGCCAGACTCCATCAGAACCTGAACTCACGACCTTTGAATCCGCAGGCGAGTTCTAGCTGCTACACCGCCGCCCCACCCCCACCCCCCCCCCCCCCAAAAAAAAAAAAAAACACACACACACGAAACGTGTAGTAATTTCATAATGGATACTGTGTTTTTTTTGCTTCAGCGTGGTTAACCAACCAAGTACAATTTTTGTGTTGAGATTTTGAGTTTTGTTTTCAGTCAGAAGCTATTTTTATATATTATATATATTTTATATTGTCCAAACGTTTGCTGCACGTCTCGTCTTCTAATGTAAAATAGATTTTATTGGTAGATTCAAATAAATATATGTTTATTTTATCAATATTTTGTATCGTCATTATGCCTGTTATGAGGGCTACGAGTGGGCAGTACGCACGGGTGATGGTTTAAATGCCTGGACTGGCTTTGCAGTTGAAACTTGAGAGGAACAGTAATGTTGTAAAGGGACTAAGAGGCTCCTCTTTAAATATATATATATAAACATTTGCTTTAAAAGTATATGTTTATATATTTCAAATTATTTCAAGTGCATTATTGTATTATTTTTTTGTTGCTATTAGGTACAATAATAATAATAATAATAATATTAATAATAATGTACCGTCAGACAAGTAAATATAATACTATTTTTTTGTGTGGGGGGGGGGGGGGGGGGGGGGGGGCAAAGACCTGACTTGATAAAATGCTTCACATGTAAAGTAAAATTCCCGCGTGAAAGGGCCGAATGTAAGACGGGCCTACGTGCCCAATTTATGACTCTTTGAAAATAAATTTTGATCGTTCATTCGTTCGTTCATTCCACAACCTAAAGCCACATGCTCCAAATTTGTTACAGAGAAACAGCGATTTCATTATCTGAACCCCACCCAATTATAATCTTACTGGACGTTGGAGAGCCTTGCCTGGGTGTTGATGGTTGTTGACCTATGAAGATGCTTCTGGGCGACGGTTGCGACAGTGTCTTAGAAAAAGACGACATTGAGGTTCGTCGCAATGATTGATTGTTGTTGGTATCGATTCAGTAGCTCCACGATTTCCACTCTATGGCGCAGTGACGTACAGTGAGGCATGCAACCAGAGGCGTAGTCATGAAACAGTCACCTGGGCACCTCACAAAACTGGGCAGGCAGCAGATTAATGAGACCTTATGTGAAAGTGCACGGCGTTTTTGTGGCTTAGGCGTTGCGAACGCACTTCGTAATGTTGGCGTACCGGGTTCGACCTCAGTTGCGGGCTTTGCACCTCGCACTGGTTTCGACAATGGTATCGAGAAGCCAACCATCCAGAAGGCAATGGCACTGGACCTTAACTTGCCCAGAAAAACCACAACAGCCACACACAAACACACACAAATGCTCGGGTTGGTTCTGCAACGTCCCGTAAAGGATACGCAACTAACTTTAAAAATGTGAAAGTGCCAAGGTGTGGTTTTATAGAGGGATAATAGGACCATCGTGAAAATATAAAGAACCCTAACGAAGATGCCTGAAAATAAGGTTATTCACAAACAGAACTTCTTGACAGAGCCGGATTTTGTTTTAAAAATCACACTGGCTACTAGGTCGACCCAACCTTAAATGGGCATCAAATGAAATCCTGGAAAGTAAAGGCGGCCGGCATGATGTTTACCACATCACACACCGAGTGGAGATTAGTCTGTAAAATATATGTCTAGCCCTGTATGCCCAGAACGCTCGAAGACGTGGAAAAGGGTCCTTTACTTTACTGCTTCACTTACATAGAGAACTAGTAACTGGCTTAGGAAGAAGACAATATCCATTTGTTGAGCAGTTAAGGTTAAAGCCAAGACGATTGACTTCATTGTACTTGGGTTTTTTCCCGGCTTAGGAAGAAGACAATATCTATTTGTTGAGCAGGTTATGAAAAAAGAAAGTTAAGGTTAAAGCCAAGACGCTTGACTTCATTGTACTTGGGTTTATCTCATATTTCTCGTCTTTCTTCGAAACAGCTCGAGCCCAGGTGCCGATTTAACATGATCTTCAATCTTCAACAGTGGTTCTCACCCTACCTAATGCGGCAACTCTTTAATACAGTTCCTGGTGTAAAAAAGACAGCGAAGTTTATACTAGAGACAACACTGCAGATATAGATAATCTATTTCAAGCGAACGAAAGAAGAAGAAGAAGTTCCTCGTGTTGTGGCAACCCCCAACCATACACTTATTTTCATTGCTACTTCATAACCTCAAAATATGTGTTTTCCTATGGTCTTTGACGACCCCTGTAAAAGGGTCGTGACCCACAGGTTGAGAACCACTGATCTACAATATGACAGGAAGACAATCAGAGTATGCTGTATGGAGCAGAAACACGAAGAGCAATTGAAATAGTTACCAATAAACTACAACATACATAAACTGGTGCTTGTGCGGAATAGAGGGAATTAAGTGGTATGTTAGAATCACTATGAGCTTTGTAAGAGAATTAGACAAGTTCCAGTGGACTAAGAGGTGATGAATAGACACAAGGATAGGGCACACATTGAGAAAACCTGAGAACAACATAACAAGAATGTCTTTGCACCGAGTCAGCTCTGTGGCTAAGTCGATGCGAAAGCTTCGTAATGCCGGGGTGCCGGGTTCGATCCCAGCTGCGGGCCATGCACCTTGCGCTGGTTTCGACAGTGGTATCAAGAGGCCGGCCGTCCAGAAAGCAATGGCAAACTACTGGATGTAAAGTTGCCTTGAGAAACCACAGAACAGCCAGGGGCTGCTGGGGCTGGTTCTGCAACGTCATGTAAAGAATAGGAAACTAACCTTTGCACTGAACCCACATGGACGTAGAAGTAAAGGCAGACCGAAAACACACACACACACTGACAGGAGCTAGAGTGTGAAGTTAAAAAGATGGGAGAACATCGAGTGAACTACACTGGATTAAAGTAAGCTGGTGAAGGACTATGTTTGTGTATTATTAAGTAAAGCACTTCCCGTCCTTTTTATGATGCAATTTTTCGTTATTTGAAGCCCTACTCTGGCTCTTGCCAGGGGCCGCAATATGGCCTGGCCATAAATATGGCCTAAAGGCTAAACGCGGTTTCTGGGACCTCTCCACGGTGATTCTCACCCACATGGTGGCACAATGTGTCAACAGGCGTTAATCGCTTGTGTGATGTCCTGGTGGGGTAGAAAGTCAGTCAGTCAGTCAGGGCTATGTTCCATTGAGGATAGAAGGCAGAAGAAGAAAATCAAGAGGGAGGAGGGGAGGGAAAGACCAAGACAGAAATTGTTACACCGTTTAGTTTCACGGAGGAAAATCTGTATGACAAGTGCATAATAATACTAGTGACAGGACGCTGAGCACAAACATGAACAACAAAACGAAAGGCCTCTATGATGAGTGGTGCGTGCGGCGCGGGTGATCTATACGTTTAGTTTTC